CTCCCCCCTGCCCCCAAGTCAGCTGCCCGGTAAGGCTCTGCTGAGATTGTCTCCCAAAGGTAGAACAAACCAAACGGCATCCTTTAGGTGCAGGTGCTGGTCCCTGAGATCGGAGCTCCCCATCTGTGCTGTGAATGGCCCCAGGTGGACACAGATGTTGGCCTTTGGAGGCTGCCAGGGTAGTGCCACCGTGGCCCTGCGTGATGTGGCGTGGTGTGGTGTGGCATGCCCCCTACTCCTATGTAAGTAACAACTTTCTTCTTCCAATGGCCTCACCTCTCCGAGTTGTCCCCCAGATTCCCCCATAAATTGAGACCCTGCGGGGACCAATGAGGCAGTAATCCGGCCTCGTGGCTGGTGTCCTAGCTCTCCCACGGTGCGGCACTGCCGCAGTTCTTGTGCCGGAATCCCCAGAGCAGGAGGACAGGACCTGGGGGAGGGAGGTGAGAGACCCCATGCCCAAGTCCTACAGTTGGGCTGAGACTTCCAGAACATGTTGATCCTATAGAAAAGTTTTCAGAGCTGCCGGGGGCCTTACTGGTCACTGTGGTGGGTAAGAGCAGAGGCTCCTACTCAGCCGTAAAGAGAAACGAAGCACTGACACACGCCACAACACGGACGAGCCGAGACAGCCTTATGCTAAGTGGAAGGAGCCATCACCGAAGGCCACATGTTGTATGACTCCAATTCTATGACGTGTCTGGAACAGAGACGGAAGGCAGACTGGCAATCAAGTGGGGTTGGGGAGATTGGTGGATTCCGTTAGTATTACAAAAGAGTGCAGGGGTTTAGGGGGGTAACAAAAGTGCTCTAAAATCGACTGTGGAAGAGACTCACAGAGGAGGCGGCCACGGAAGCAGAGGCAGAGATCCGAGGGAGCAGCCACAAGCTGAGGGATGCTTGGGGCCACGGACGCTGGAAAGGACAAAGAGTGGCTTTTCCTGGAGCCTGTAGAGGGAGCCCGGCCCCTGCAGAGGGAGTGCAGCCCTGCCAGCACCTTGACGCTGGAGAAAAAGCCTCTGTCGTAAGCCACCAGATGTGTGGTCCCTTCTTACTGCAGCCTAAGAAATTACAGTTTCTAGTCACTCTTAGCACAGCCACTCAGCCCGCGGTGTCAGAGCCAGGGCTGTTGTCGCACATTCTCACTCGAGACCTGTGTTAGGTTTCTCCAGAGACCTGGAACCAACAGGGTGTGTGTGTGCACACGTGTGTGTGTGTGCACGTACATACATACATATACAGGGTGGGGGAGAGAGAGATTTATTAAATAAGAGGAATTGGCTCACACGGTGATGGAGGCTGAGAGGTGCCAAGATCTGTGGTTGGCAAGCCCGTGACCCAAGAGAGCTGATGATATAAGTTCTGGTCCAAAAGCCAGCAGGCTCAAGACCCAGCCAGAGCCAACATCTCAGCTGGAGTCAAAAGGCAGGAAAAAGCCCACGTCCCAGTTCAAGCTGTCAGGTAGGAGTTCCCTTGCAGCCCACCTTTTTGTTCTATTCAGGCCTTCAGTGAATTAGATGAGGCCACCCACTTGGTGGACGGACACCTGACTTCCTGAGTCCACCCATTCAGTGCTAACCTCACCTGAACACTCCCAACTCATGGTTGACTAAAAGTCTGGGCACCCCATGGCCCAGTCAAGTTGGCACATAGAGCTAACCGTATAGGCCTCTTCGTTTCATTTGCCTTGAATCGAAACAGCATCAACTCAGGTATCTGAGGGTCTGGAGGCAGGTTCTGTGATGAGCACACAGAGAATGGTTGTCACTCGCCCAGCCCACATGCCCACCAGCTGCGCTGGGACCTGTGACCCCGGCCATCTCCTTCGGGACACACTGACTCATCAGGTTTACCAGCCCCTGCCTGAAAAAGTATTTAATTTGCCTTTTACAACGCACTGATGGCAAGTTAATTAACTGGCAATTGCAAGTTATAGGTGGCATTAGAATTTATTAATAACATTGGAAATAAATTGCCCTGGAATTCAATTAATTGAAAACCTCATGAAATTCTCTTTTTATAATCCATAAAACAGGCCTTAGAGGCGGGTTGGGACTGCAGGTGTCGGGAGTGGGGAGGGGGCTTCTGCTCTGACGTGGGCCAGCCTGGGCTCCCGCCCTGCTCACACCCTTGTCACTGCCCCGGGGGCTGGCAAGGGCCCCCCACTGTGAATGTCTTGCCACATGCCAGGGTTCACTGGGGGGATATCTCTGCACCGCACCCAGCCCAGAGCTGGGTGCTGGGGCCGCAGATGTGACCCCGCACACAGGACGCTCACAGCCAACGGGGGGAAGATGGAGCAGTGGGGATACCCTTTGGATCCAGAGGGTGAGGTCTGGAGCTGGGGACCCCAGTGGTACCTTGACTGCCCCTGGCTGGGGCCCAGGGCTACAGACAGGGTGTTCCTGCCACTCTAGTGGGACAGTCGCCCCTGTGGATCTTTGGTACATGCCAGGGACAGACTGAGAAGAGCATGCATCACTGGGGCCCCCTCCCACACCGTGCAGGGGAGGGGAGGCCGAGGTGGGGCCCTGCTCCAGCCTGAAGTCTCACTCTGCCTTGGGGCTCAGCTAGGCTGAGGGGGTAAGGGCAAGAGGGTCCCACAGAGCCATGGGCCAGGGCCTTGGGGGTAACGAGGACCATGGCTGGACTCAGCTCCGGAGCCCAGGGGAGGGGGCCCAGAAGGGAAGGAGATATTGAAGTGGTGTCTGCCCCTTCTCTGCCACACACAGACACAGGCACACACACGTGCACATGAGTATGAACACTGTAGTAGATGTGACAGTGTGCATGCTCATAAACACACACATACTCAAGTACACACGCGCACACATGTGTACACACACTGGTAATACATGTGCACACTTGCACGTGCACACGCACGTACAGCAGGGGCTGGAGCCAGTTGGTGTTGGAGAAGGAACGCAGTGCACAGGACGGGGCAGGCCCCACAGGTGGTGCCCTGCAGTGGGTGACTGGAGGGTGCAGAGCAGAGGGGACTAGAGGAGGTGACAGACAGAGCAGCCGGGCTGGGCAAGAGCAGTGGGGTGGGGTAGGTGAGATAAAGTGGGGCCGGTGCTAATTCTCCCTCCTCAGCTGCATGGGTGGGTGGGCAGGTACTCCGGGGGGAGCTCAGGGCTGTCCAGGCAGTGACAGGTCCATCCAGCCCTGCCCTTACTCTGGTGCTCAGAGCTCAGCTGTGCTAGGAGAGGACCTGGGAGCCCCACCTGTATGGGGCAGACCCTGGCACATCCCTTTCCCCAGGGCATGTGGGGACAGGAGCAGTCTGGGCAGAGGAAGCTGGCTGGGGCCCAGGCCCGCGGCATCCTAGCGGAGCTCTGGTGCTTTGCTTCATATTCTGAGTCCAAGCCCTGGACACTGAGCTTGGAGGTGCAGGTGAGGGTGTCCCCGCATGTGTGCAAAGGCCCACATGGTGAAGGACAGAACAAGAGGGGCCCGGCCTGTCTCCTTGGCTGCAGGGGTCAGAGGTGCTAAGGCATCTCAGGAGTTTACACAAAGCCAAGAGCTGGGGTCCCCTTGGGGCTGTAAATGCCCAAAGGTGCCCAGGCCCTTTCCCCAGCAGCTCTCCCACGTCCTGCAGGCACTTAGCGCCACCGTGTGCCTGGGGAGCCAGCGCCCACAGGCTGGGCAGGCGAGGCCAGCAGTGAGCAAACCTCCTGGGCAACTCCTTGGGCCAGAGCAGGGGCTCCGATGACAGCAGCAGGTGGCACAGCCTAGGTTTGGGCCAGGAACAGGGAGACACTGAAGATTCCCGAGCAGTGGAGGAGTGCAGCCAGGCTTGCATTTCAGAGAGATCATTCTACCAGCCAGACTGTGAGCCCCTGCCTCCTCTGCTGTCCCTCGGGGGGTCAATTTCCTCCCCCTCCTGCATCAGGGTCCTCCAACGTCATGCACCTGGCAGCTGCTGCAGTGTCCTGGGAGAATCCTCTCCGCGCTCACCCCGGTCTGCTCTGCTCCCCATCTGGCTCCGGCCTGTGCTCACACCTGCCTGCCACAGTGCTGTCCTGGGTCTTGGTTTGTGTGAACGCCACTCTGCCTTCCAGAACCGCTCGCTGGGGGCGGAGCAGGTGCTTGATCCCTACTAAGGCCAACCAGGACTCAGTGTGTCATCGTAGGCTTGTCATCAGAGCATATGGGTCACCCTGGGGTCCCAAGGGTGAGGGGCAATATGTCACTGACCCCTAGGCCTGAGCAGGCCAGAGCACCGAGGCCTCCCCAACTCGTCCCCTCTTCCTGCAGAGCTGGGGCCAGGCCCAGCTTAGACACAGCGGGTGGGAGGTGGGGCACCCTCTGAGGGGCTCCCCTGGCTGCCCTCACATTCCTCGCACCCCGGGGGGCTCCTGGAGGCAGAGCTGGGCCTCCCTGCCTCTGAGGCCTTGGGCCAGCCTCGGGCCTGGCCAAAGCTGCCCGAAGGCTTCCTGGGCCCACGGGCCACAGCCCAGCCTCGGGGACTGCTGCCGCCACACAGACAGACCCACAGTGGGGAGAGCACCTTTATTGTCAGACACGGTAACAGCGCGACAGGCTGGTGTGCCAGTCAGAGGTCCCGCCGCCTCTGGCTTCCCCTCCAGACCTGCCCCAGGAGGGGTCATCAGGGCCTTGAGGGCTGGGAGAGGTAACGAGGGCCCAGAGGGACCAGGCCACAGCCTCCCAGGAGCACCAAGAGCGCCAGGGACAGTCACTCCTGCCACAAGGGGAGACGTGTCCCAGGGTGGCGCCAGCACCTTTGATTCTCTGAGTTTGCTCCGTCGCTGAATGCCGGGTCCTGGCCCAGCAGGAGGGTGACACCAGGGCCCGGCAGGTCACAGGAGGACTGCGGTCTGAGCCAGCAGGCAGACCCTGCAGGTTTCCCAGGGAGGCTGGGAGGGGCCTGGGCTGCAAGTCCCACCTTGAGGGACATTCCCATGAAGCGCCCCTCCTCTGGCTCGGGGCGGGCTCGGTGAGCCTGCAGGGGCTCAGTGGGGGATGCCAACCTGGTCCGCGGCCCTGCACTCCCAGTGCTGCTCTGTCACAGTCCCCAAGTCCATGTGACCTCCAGTGATGTATTCAGGGTCTCCCTGGTCTCTGAGAGCAGCTACCAGTCAGGCCTCCCCAGCCTGAGGAGCAGACCCTAAAGCCTGGGGAGGGGGCCGACGAAGGGAGGCCCTGTGGTCTTGGACTGGGATGTGCCATGCAGGGCCCCGCCATCCCCTCAGCTGGCCCTGCGCCCTCCCGTCTGAGTTTCCTCATGAAGACGGGAAACCAGCATTGCTGAGAACACCGGGCTTCAGGAGCTGAGAGCCCCAGGTTCAAATCCTGCCCCAGCCATCCATGAGCTGGTGGCCTCGAGTGGGTAATTTGTACCCTCCGAGCCTGGGTCCTCTGTGTAAAGTGAGGATAATAAGCCTACCTCCTAAGGGTTAAATGAGACGACATAGGGAAAGCCCTGGACAGGCCCAGATGTCGCAGGGACTCAGTAAATGAGGAGTATTAGGATTCTTCTCATACCCGCCCCTGGCCCACCCAGACCCCGTGTCCAGCAGGGAGTGGGGGGTGGGAGAGGATGGGCCTCTGCCGAGGGTGCTGGTCCCCTCTGGACCCTGCCCCTGGAGGCGCCGTCTGTCCCCAAGACCCTCGGGCCCCAGGAGCCAGCGTCCCCCCACAGTCGGTGTCTGCAGCCCGGGCCCCCGGGGCGCCTTCAGGAGCCGGCAGCAGCTCGGGCCTCCGGGGCCGCGTCTCCGGCCACAGTGGGGCTTATCCCAGGAGCTGGGCTCTCACTTCCTGCCGCTGGCCCGCTCTGCACTCTTCTGCCCCGGGTCGGGGCCAAGCAGGGCAGCAAGGACGCCATCGGGCTGGGAGCCGCCTCGCTTCATCTTGAGGTTGGCTCTCAGGCTGGCGTCCTGGCCGGAGCCCCCCTCGGGGGAGGCCAGGGGGTCTGGAAGGAGAGCAGGGGCGCTCCAGACAGAGCCTGCGGGCACTCGGAGCACCTCTGCCCCCGTCCCGGCAGTGGAGAGAAGGCCTCGTCCAGCGCGGAGGAGGCAAAGCAGCAGCGGGCTTCAGGCCCTCACGCATTCGTTCACTCGCCCATTCACTCGTTCACCCGTGCCCATGTGTCCACCCACTCTCCTGTCCCTTCCCCCATTCGCCCACCACCCAGCCTCCTGAGCTCCAGAGGGGCTGCAGAGGCGCCACGTGCCACCTTGCACAGGGGATCCCGGTGGGCCAGGGAGAGACGTGGGAACCCCACCCCACCGCGGAGCGGCAGGCCCCTTGGGGCACCGTGAGGACAGAGGAGGGCTGGGGGGAGGCTTTGCAGTGGCAGAGATCTCTGAGCTGGTCCTGGGTGGGAGTCAGTGCTCCCCGGGCAGAGGGCCTGGCCTGAGCAGAGGTGTGGGAGTGGGAGGTGTCGCTCCCCACAGGGCCATGCGGGAGGGCCTGGGGAGCTGGGCTGATGCACCTGGAGTGGAAGGCAGCAGGGAGCTACTGGGGTCCCAGAGCAGGGGAGGGGCGGCATCGGCCTGGGCGTTGGTGAAGACCATCTGGTCTGGCAGCCACGTGGAGGCTCTTGGGGGCAGGAAGGCCCGAGCCCCGAGGCAGCAGGGGGTGGGTGGGGGAGGGGAGGGAGGGTCCCAGCCCGGTGGCCCTGGTCGCTGCTCACCGTGGATCCCAATCATGTGCTCCAGGATGAGGACTCGCTCTGCCAGGATCTTCAGCGCCTCTCGCAGCTGCTGCACCCCCTCGCCCTGGAGGGGACCGGGGGAATGGCCAGGGTCAGGGTGGACTCCAGAGAGGGGTCAGGGCTGTCCCGCTGCAGCCCCCACCCCTGCCTCTTCCCACCTGTCCCCACCGTCACTGCAGATAGTGTCCCAGAGGCTGAGGTTCAGGCCCATGTTCAAGGAGCCCAAAGCACAGAGGGGACAGGCAACATCCCTAGTGCCACACAGCCTGGACGTGGCTGCCTGGCTGCTCCTCCTGAGTGTCCTTTTTCCAGAAAATACCCTAACGAGGGCAGAGCACCCAACACAAGGCCTCAGTGGGGAGGTGCTTTCTCATTTCCTTCCTGGGCTGCCCAGCTGGGAGCTCCCTGCCACGTTAACGCTGCAGGGCAGGCCGGGGACAGACCAGGTGTGGCTGCACCAGGCAAGGAAGAGCAGTGGGGCTCCTGGTAACGGAGCCTACATTCCTGGCACCAAGGACCTTGCATATGGAGACACGTGAATGACCCAAAGCAGGGTGCTAACTTCTCAAGAAGACAGGTGTCAAGGCCACTTTGGAAAGAAAAGTGACAGTGGAGAGACAAGGCCACTGTCCCCAGCTGGTGGCCCAGCCCTGGGAGGTGGCAGCAAAATGGTACCTTTTGCTGGTGTAACATGACTGGTCTTTCTCACATTCAGATTAATTTAGCTCAAAACTAAACACAAGGAAACCAAACAGCAGCCTCCTGGGTCACAGGAAAGAGGTCTCCCCGCCAGGAACCCAAAGGTGCCGGGAAGCTGAGCCATACACAGCGTCTGGGATGGGGACGGAGCGGGGGGTGGGGCTCCAGGCCCCTCTGTCAGGGACCCAGATAAGCCTCATGTCCGTGAGCCATGGGATGCTCTTCTCATGAAATGTGGGTGGGCAGGGTGTCACAGAAACTTCCCAGAGTCCCGTGGCGAGTGACACGTGTACCTGGGCTCAGGCCCCACCTTCTTCCTTGCTGCTGCCTGCACCACTTTCGCTGCCTGGGTTCCAGCCTCTTCCCCTTCTCTGATACTGCAAGGACCTCCTGGAGGTCCCTCTGCCCCAGCCTCGCCTCTCCAGCTGTGCAGGTGGCCCACCGAGCCCTGACACCCACCGCACCTGGGCACCCCCACCCAGCCACCTTCACGCAGTCTGCCCCACAAGCTTCCCAGGGCAGGGACTGCCTGCAGGGTGGGTACAGATCTGCGGGGCACCCCTCCCCCTACAGCACTCTAGCACAGTTACCTCTGTGGCGGCCGCTTTGTCCCCCTCCTCCCCCTTCAGGCCGGGCTCACCCTAGGAAGGAAGTCACATAGTCAACACCTGGCACCAGGTGGGGGACACCTCTCCACCCTCTCGGGGGCCTGCGGGGAGTCAAGGGCAGGCTGGGCAGGCAGGGCCCAGAGGACGCCTGCCCTGGGGTGAGCAGAGCAGGGGAGCCCGCGACCCCAGGGCATGAGGAGGTGTCTGGGTTCGGTTTTAAGGGCTTCATAGGCTTCTGGGGCAGAAGAGGCTACTTCTGTGTGACCGTGAGCAAGTCTCTACCTCTCTGTGCCTTTGTTTGCTCACCTCTAAAATGAGGTTAGTACAATGAGTAAGATGTGCAACGCTTGGGGGATGGACACACTTGAAGCTCTTACTCAAGGGGGGAGGGGGGCATGGGCAATATATGTAACCTTAACACTTATACCCCCGTAATATGCTAAAATTAAAAAAATAAATAAATAAATAAATAAAATGAGGGTAGTAACAGTACCTATCTCAGAGAATTACTAGGACGATTAAGGAAGTTTATATTGACAATGAGCTTAGACCATAGCCTGGCAGACAGAAGTGCCATTGAAGTGGTCACCATGTTGTTACTGTCAGGAGACAGAAGCATGGGAGGGGGCAGGATGAGGCCGACACTCCTAGGTCAAATCCCAGCTCTTCTGCTGCCTTGCTGTGGTGACTTTGGGCAAGTTACTTAAACTCTCTGAGCCTTAGCTGCTGGTTCTGGCAAATAGGGATAATGAAGTGTGGTCTCGCTGAGTCTCTGTGAAGCTTAAATGTACTGTGTGTGGGGGGGGGGAAGTACCTCCATGGTGGCCGGCACACAGTAGGTGCTCAGCAAGGATCTATTCCTCCTCCCCCGCCCCTGCACCTGGAGTAAGGCTTGGGTGGAGGGAAGTGCCTGCATCCTTGGCCTTGGAGGCAGGAGTTGAGACTCATAAATTTTTGTTTCCAAGAAGGGCAATTAGAAGCCAGCTGTCTAAGCCTCTTACTTCTGGGAGGTTCAGAGAAGGGAAGGGACTTTTCGGGTCACACAGCACATTAACCTGTGGCCCCGGGCAACACAGCACATTAACCCAGGCCCAGGTCACGGACGCGTTAGCCAGGGCTCTGGGGGCTCTGGAAGAGACTTAGGGCTCTCCCCAGTTCCTGAGGTTGCTGCCCTCCGGCCTCCTCACCCCGACGGGAGCTATTTCAGGCCCCGCTCACACGCCCTGGGAGCCAGAGCCCAGGCAGGGCCACCTGGGACAGACCCCACCCACCGGGCGCCCTGGGCGTGGCCCGGGCCCATCGCACAGACAGACTTACGGACGGCCCCGCCGCGGCCCGCTCTCCCGCCAGGCCCTGCAGGAACAGACAAGCATGTGAGATGCCACCTGTGCCCGCCCAGTCTCCAGCCCCGACCCCGACTGGGCTCTGGGTCTGAGGATGAGGAGGGAGGCCTGGCAGGAACAGAAAGGCCAGACTCAAGGGCCTCCAGTCCTGGAGCCACCTGGGGCTGGCGTGTGGCCCTGGGCCTCAGCTGAGCCTCAGTCTTCCCACCTGCAAAGTGGGGTGATGCCAAGTACGGCTGTCCCATGGAGAAGGGGACAGACGGTCAAGCACTTGGAGGGCATGAGTCATGGTGATGGCGACAGTCCCTCCCTCCTGTGCTAACACCAGCCCTGACGGCTCCCCGGAGCCCCAGACCCATGTCTGGCCGTCCCCTGACATCTCCACCCAGCTGACCACGAGACGCCCACTCCATCTCTCCCTAAAGTAACCCCTACCCGGAAGCCTTCGCTTCTTGTGGAACTGGAACGGCTCCCTCCTGCTCCTGGCTGGTCCCTGCAGACCCGCGGGAGTGAACCCAGAGCCTGCCCTTCCCCTCCCGCCAGCTGTCGCCATCAGCCAGACCTGTCCAGCCCCACTCTTCACTCTGCCCTGTCCACTGGGACCTCCTGCTGGTCTCCAGCCTCCTTCCCTCTCCTGCCTCCCATCCCCCACGACAGCCAGGAGGCCTTTTAAAGACGTAAATCCTCCCTGGAACTCAAGGGGCTCCCTCTTGGTTACAGGAGCCTACACTTGGGCCCAGAGGTCAGGCCTTGCCCTCTGCAGCTCAACCCACACCACACTCCTTTGCTCACTCCCTGCCCCCGGGCCTTTGCACCTGCTCTCCCCACCACCTGGGCCTGATGGGCCGCACGGCATGGGAGGCAGAGCAAGGCTAGGGTCCGGGGTGCCTCACCCACCCCATGGGCAATTCTTAGGGAGGGAGGGGCCGAGGTGGGCATTGAGTGACTTGGCCCAGCTCTGCCCACACCCTCTGTGTGTCCTTGGGCAGCACTGGCTTCTCTGGGACTCAGTTAGCTCATCTATGAAATGGGGGTGCTGCTACCACCTCCCCGGCATGGAGGAAGTGGGCAGCAAGGGGCACTGTTACTAACAGAACCAGAACCCCACGCCTACCTTGCTCCCAAGCCACTCCAGAAATGGCAAAGTCCTCACCTGGGAGCCAGGTGCTCCTGGGGGTCCCGGGGGACCGTGCGGTCCTGGGGGACCTGTGGGCAGAGTCGCAGATGTTCACCTAGGGCCAGAGACGCCCACTGCCCCCTTCAGCTCTAGGGGAGCATTCAGCCTCCTGTCCCCCAGCTGCCCTGGGCCTGTCCCTGGGCAGCAAATGAAGGTTTGCTGAATGAATAGTTGTGGGGGCCAGGTGCTCCGGCCCCCATTCCTCGGATCCCACAGCCCTCCCTCCACCCGCCCCCTCCTGTGGCTCCTGCTCCTCCGCCTGCTCCCCTCCCAGAGCCTCATCCATGAGACCTAGGAGACCAGCTAGGACGTCCACGCAGCCACGCAGAGCGAGCTTTCGAAACAAACCAGGTAGGGACCTCCCAGGGATCCTGAAGTCCTCAGCCCTGCCCCTTCCCACCCTCACTCCCAGGTACCCTCCTGGAAAGTTCTGCTTTGTGTCTTTGCCAACGCTGTTCCTCCTCCTGGAGCTTCCCTCCCCATCCACGCTCCCAGAAAACTCTTTCCCACTAGTCTTAGGCTGAGTGTCACCTCCTCCAGGAAGCCTTCCCAGCACCTCCTCCCACCCCACTTCTAGGCAATCCCCTGACGTGGACCAGCCACCGCCCATGGCCACGGTGCTATGTGCTATACACGTCTGTCTCCCCTACGGGCCGTGGAGTGCCCAGAGGGTCAGGCTGGGTCTCATGCGCCCGGCATGGGGAGGGTGTCTCATGACTAACGTCTGGCTCTCATGGAGGTTGAGGCCTCTGTCCCCAGTGGCTCTGCACAGGCCTGGGCCTCCCGGACTGTGGGGAGCCCCTGCTGGGCTGTGCCAACGTGGCCCCACTCCCACACCTGGGGACACGTGGGGTGGGGCACCCCAGGGTGCAGTGTTAGAAACAGGCACCCTCCCTCCAGTCTGAGTGCTCCTGAGACCCGAAGGCCACCTGGAGGCTCCAGGTACCCCCCGCTCACCTCCTTTCCTCCCTGGAGCATCGGCTCAAATGTCTCGCTGTGCTGAGGCCCCACTTGCCCCAGTGCCCGCCAGCCCGGCTTCTCGCCTGTCACTGTCCCAGATCCCACCCAAGTTACTGATTCATGGTGTTCACGCACGGCTTGCCATCCTCCATGAGATGCCAGTTGCTCAATGACAGGGACCTTTGTTTTGATTACTCGAGTGTCCCAGGAACCTAGAACACTGCCCAGCACGTGTGGTCGCAGGTGCCCAGTGAACGTTTGTCAAAAGCACAGGAGAGTGGATGAGTGACAAGCAATGAGCGACAGGCTTTTCCGGGCAGGGCGGGTCCCTGGAGGACAGGCTCAGGCCAGGCCTGAGAGCAGGTTCCCACCCCACTGAGCCCCAGGGCCCTTGGTTTCAGCCTCAGAGGCCTGGCACTTCCTGTCTCTTATCCACCTGCCCCTACGGTTCCTGAACCCCCTAAGCTGACCCTACACCCCATTGCCTGGGCCTCCATGTACCCCGGTGCGGGTCCCACTCTAGCCCACGCAAGGGCAGCCTGGGTCCACATGTTCCAGCAGAATCACTTGGGCTTTGTGTGTCCAGTCCCGGGGCACTGGCACCGAGAAGCGAGGGGCTTCACCTCAAGCCACATAGCAGGTTGGGGCAGAACCAGATCCCAGCCCTGTCCCAAAGCTCTGGACTCCACCCGGCCTCCAGCCCCCTTGCGGCCCCTAGGCTTGGGCCAAGCCCTGGGCAGTCTTCCGTCTGGGCCCGGCTGTGCTGCTGTCTACTTACCTGGTGGGCCGGGGGGACCCCGGGGCCCTGGGACACCCGCCAGCACTGTGTCCACAATGGCAGGTGCCAGCCGTGAGTCTCCATCTGTGGGAAGAACAGAGTGGCCAGTGGTCTGGCGGGGCAGAGCTGGCAGTGCTGGGAGGCTGGCCCCGAGCACGCTGCCCAGCTCCAGGACGGCTGCGTCCCTTAAGGGCCCTGAAGCTTCGGGAAAAAGCGTCCTGTCTGAGCGGGGCTCGATGGCAGGGGGCAGGACCAGACGCAGGACATCATGCCCAGACCAGGGCAGGTTGGAGCCCACAGATGGCTCCTTTTGGCCCAGGGGTGCAGGTTACTGTCCTCTGAGACCCCCTCCAAGGCACTCACATTCGAGAACATCATCTGTTCTCTCCCTGCCCAGCATCCCTGCGCCACTGCACAGGTGGGGAAACCGAGTCTGCAGACAGCAAGTTAGTGCTCGCCCCTCCCCCAGCCCTGCCCCTGGCCTGGCCCAGCCGTCGTCCCCACTGAGGACAGCCAGGACCCCGCCTGGCCGGGGAAGAGTCCCGTCCTCCTGGCGTAGGCACCCGCTGGGGCTGTGTGTTTCCATCTCCAGAGTGGCTCTATCGGGGAGTGTACCCATCTCTACAGATGGGGAAACTGAGGCTGGGAGAGGGACGGGGATTCAGGCGTAGATTTCAATGCTCAGAGGAAGGCCGTGCTGCCTGTGAGGACGGAAGCCCCAGCAAAAGGGGGGTCGGGTTTCTCTGACAGTGAGCCAACACGTCCTGATGTCCCCCCGCCACGGTGCCCGGGATGCCCACTGACCCATCCTCTCTTTTCAGAATTTACAGTTGATCCTGTCACCTTCCTCTTACTGCCCTCCCAATTGCCCAGGACACTTAACAAAAATGATGCTCCTTTCGGGGACTTCAAAAATGATGTTCCCACAGGCTCCTCTGCCCAGCCCACCCGTGCCTCCCTGTCCCTTGGACTCAGAGTCCTGGTCCCGTCTGCTCTCTGGGCCCGCGGCCCCACCTCCCACGTGTGGGCGGGGACGTTGCAGTGTGATCAGAGCCGGATTCGCTCCCTGCTGCATCCCAGTGACTAAAGCCCTGTGCCCGGCGCACAGTAGGGGCTCACTTAATTCTGCTGCATGACTTGCCGTGGTAGTAGGGACAGGCCACGCTGGAGCCAAGAGCAGGGCTGAGGCCAGCACCATCCCCCCACTCCCCGGTGACCCTTGGCCTGGCTCCCGAGCTGACTCTGTCCCCATCGGTGGCAAGTCCGGTTCCCCAGGGATCCTCTGAGGAAGGCCGGGACCCCTGGAAGGGAAGACGCTGCGGCCCAGCCCTGCCCACGCCGCTCAGGCGCGGTACTCACTGTCTCTGTCTGTAGGCGGCTGCAGGGAGTAGAGGGCGCCCTGGGGGCTGTTTGCTGAGGGGCCCGGGCTGCCTGCTGGGCCCGGGGGTCCCGGGGGGCCAGGACGCCCCATCTCTCCAGGAAGCCCTCGGGGTCCTGGTGGCCCCAAGAGCCCTGCAGTGGGGAGAAGAGGAGTCATAGTGAGAGCAGAGCCTAGGCTGAGAGATTACAAATGGGGAAACTGAGGCCCTGAAGGGGAGGGGGTCAGTCAGGGCACACAGTGGTGGCCTCTGGACCCACAGTCCTCCTGGAGGAGTGTCCCGGAGTATGTGCGATGGTGTCCCCTTCCCAGCCCAGTCTAGAGGGGACACCAGGGACGGCTGGGGAGGGTGAGGGAGGCAGAGGCGAGGACCTCCCAGGGACCTCAGCTCTGGACAGGGACCCCAGGGACGCCTGCCAGCCTGTGCCGGCCCCAAGCTGCTCAACCAGGGATCCCTCCCCTGCAGGACCCGGGTCTTGGGTCATGGGTGTGTGGGATGTCACCTGCTCAGGTGGGGGAGAAAGCCCAGCCCCTTCCCCCCGGGAACAACATGGGGGCAGGGGCCTTACCAGGGGGCCCTGCTGGGCCCTTCTCTCCTGTCTGGCCTGGGTCACCTTTGGAGCCTGGGGGGCCTGCAGGCCCTGGCGGTCCCGTCTGTCCCGGGGGCCCTGGAGAGAGAACGAGACGGGCCTCAGAACCCTGGGCCGGCCGCCTCTGATGGCTCCAGGCCTGACCCCCAGGCTGTCTGGTTCACCTCCCCCTGGGAGTGCCGCCCACCTGTCCCCCTCCCCCACAACAGGTGAAGGCCCCAGGGTCACTGTAGGTTTGTTGTTCTTTACAGTTTACAAACCATTTTTGCACCTGTGAACATCTATGATCCCAAGAACTGCTTTTGTTCCCATTTTAAACATGGGGAAACTGAGGGTCTGAAAGGTCTAGCCCCTTGTTCAGGGTCGCAGAGCCAGGCCGCAGCTCAGGTCTCTCAGCGCCAAGCCCCCCCGAGAGTCCTACCGTGTCCCTACTCAGGGTCAAGAACTGGGTCTGTGGCAAAGTGCTCCCCAGTATGGCCCCTCGGAGGCCCCAGAAAGCCCAGGACTCGCCTGGCCACCCTGGGGTTCGAGGCCCTGAGTGGGGGTGAAAGGAGGACACACAGGGGTGAGGCCCACCGTGTGGCCCAGGGACAGCCCCTTCCCTGTCTGGGCTGCCAGAGAGGATGCTCAGAAATGTTTGCTGATCTGATGGAGGGACCCGCGCTGGCTCTTAGGGCCTTTGAGCTCGGGCTGCACGTGACTCTGGTCCTGGAGGGAGGACCTGGCTGAGGGCTGCTGGCTTGGGGACAGCCCCCTGCTCTTGGTGACTCCAGGGCCAGCCAGGCGGCTCCAGGTGCCGCCATGTGTAGGGTGTGCGCCCCACCTGGTGGCGATCCTTGGAACTGCATCTTCCCTGGTAGGAGCGGTCTGGCCTTTGGGGCCTGGGCGCGTAGAATCATTGAGGCAAATGCCCGTGGCTTGCTGGGTGACAACAGGGGAGTCACCTAGCTTCTCTGAGCCTACCCTCTGTAACCTCATGAGCCTTGTGTGAAGATGAGAGATGATATCTCTGCACCGAGTCTACCGTATTGACAGGTGCCAGCAACACAGGCACCCAGGCAAAGCTCTAGCTAGGGCCTGGCACCAGGAGGGCTGCCAACAACTGCGACTATTATCATCACAATTGTTCCTACTATTCTGCAGCCCCAGGGGCAGAGCCCAGGTCAGCGGGAAGGATCTACAGAGAGAAAATGTTTGCCCTTGATTTAAAAATGTGGCAGGGAAGTCAGGGCGGCAGAGGTCCTCCCACTCTGGTCGGAGAGTTCATCGAGGAACCCCCGGAATGTGGGGGAGGCGGAAGCTCCCGCTCTCTGGGACACGCAGGCAGGCTGCTGCAGGATTGAGCCGAGCACGGATGGGCCGGGCTGGGGGCCTATGTTCAGGTGCTAAGGGCCAGGGTGGGTCACAAGGACAGTAGCAGGCCTGTGACCTGGGAGACAGTCAGGAGAGGTGTGGACTGCAGCTAGCCACACCTGGACTGCATCTACAGCGACAACCAGGACTCTGCTGCAGCTGATCGTTTGCATGAGCCAGCCCAATGGCCTGAGCTTCCATTTTTTAAAGAGAAACTAGAAATCCTGATTTTTCTATGAAATTTTTCGGCTTTAAAATGTTAACTCAATTTTTTAAAATGCCACGTGGGCAGGCTTGACCCAGAGGGCTTCGTGGGACCTGTCTGCTGAGGTCCTGGGAGGCGATGCCTGCTCCCCCACCCCCACCCCCCAGCTGGCCCGAGCCTTCCCTGCCGGCCTCACTCACCAGCCGGGCCTGTGGGCCTTCTCCTTCGGGGCCCCGGGTGGGCCAGAGGGATGGCATCAGGGAGGAAGTCCTCGTTCCAGGGGGGCGGGGTGCTCTGGGGGGCTGGCAGGTCATTGTCAGGGCCAGAGGGCCGCTCCGCTGCTTCGAGCAGGAGAACCTAAGCCGGAGAAGGCAGAGGGTCGGGCCAGGCCAGGGCAGAGAAACGAGTGTGCAGGAACATGTGCCCATGAGACCTGCAGCTGTCCCCTGCCGCATATGACCGGTCATGCTCCTAGGTGGGACCAGTGTGCCCGTGCTCTCCCCCGGCCTCTTGTCCCTCCCACACCAGGAAGCCCTCGGGCTCCAGCAGGGCCCACTGACACCTTCATAGTCCCCATGCTTGTGCTCAGAGGTTGTGGCTGTTTGAGCAACAGTCCCATGCTTGTGCTCAGAGGTTGTGGCTGTTTGATGCTCCAGCTCTGGGGTGGGACTGGGGGAATCTGTGCACTTTGTCCCCTCACTCCCTGGTACAGGGCACAAACCCCTCGTCAGGGAACATTTGTGGGGGGATGGGAGGGAGGAGAGAGAGATAAAAGGAGGGAGGAAGAAAAGAATGAAAGAAAAGAAAAAAGAAAGAGAAGAAAGGAAGGGAGGGAGGGACCGAGGGTGGGGCCATAAATCAGCCCATTTTGGTGCCTGGTCCTTAGGGGCCACTCCAGGGAGACAGAAGGTGGCCATGGTTACTCAGGACCAGCTGGAGGCAGCACTCTTTTCTCTCCTTAAGGGAGGCAGGGGGCAAAGTCACAGAGCCTGGGCCTGGGGGGACTTTCGCCTTCATTCCCAAGCGACCTGGGAGCCAGGCCTCAGGGACCCCAGTGAGTCCCTGCTGCCCCAAAGAGGCCGGCAGGGGGCGCAGTGTGCCGGGGATGGGCTCAGGCCTGGCCGAGAAGCCCCGCTTAGAACCTGGGTGAGCCCTGGGGCAGGGAGCGCTGTGGACCTGTCACTCAAGCGGAAGCTGCTGGGTCGCAGGGCAGTCAGCTGCCCTCACCGCACTCAGGCCTGCGGTGCACAGGGAAAGGGTCCCTCTGGGCAGTCCCCTCACCAGTTCTGCAGTGTCCCTGGGCCTGGGGGACAGAGTCTAGGGACCCTTGGGAGCAAAGTGGCCTGTTGTGAGTCCAGCCCCAGCAGGCGGGTCCCCAGGTCTCAGGCACGTGGGGCGCAGCCACGGCCCCGCACCCAGGCCCTGCTGTGGGCCGCAGGACGGGCTCCTCCACCCCGCAGGGAGCGGCCCAGTCCTGTGGGACAGCCGGGGCCTCAGGGTCTCCATCTGCACTTGGCAGGGGCTCCTGTCCTGTGAGGCTACCCCTCCCTCTCCCCACCCGCCACCTGTCTGAGCCCCTCCCCCTCCTGGTCCTTACAAGGACCATGAGACAGGAAGGGTTGCAAGCGAGGTGCAAATAGAGGCTCAGAGATGGCAAGTGACGTGCCCAATGTCACCAAGCGAGCAGGTGGTACGGCCAGGGCCCCGTGCAGGGCGTCACCCACCAAACGCCAGCGGAGGCACAGAGAAGGGGAGCGGCTGGCCCAGATCACACAGCAGCTCGGGTGGCCCCTGGAGTCCCCGCTGGGGGAGGATACTGGCTCCTGCCCCACCACGGAGCGTCCCCTGGGAAGCTGATGCCACAGCCAAGGTCAGGGGCTCCTGGCAGTGGAGGGCAGGGGTGGGAGAGGCACGTGATGGAGCAGCCAGGGGCCCCTCCTGTGCAGACACCCCCGCCACAGAGCCCACGGAGCTGGGCAGAGGAGCCCCGGCCCGGCCAAGGTAGGCTCAGCCCGGGCTGGCGTCTCAGCCCTCCTGGGCCAGCCGCGGCCGACTCCTGGAGAAACTGACCCCGTCCCTGCCCAGGCATGAGCTCACCGGGGCGGGCAGCTGTGGGTGTGGGGACTCAGCCCAAGAAAACCAGACTGCGGCCTCCAGGGCCATGGCCCTGATGATGTCATTGCGGCCTGGTGGATTGGCCAGGGCACCTCCCTCCTGCCCCAGAGACCGCTATGAGGAGGCTTCAGTGGCCCTGGTGGGGGAAGTCCCCTTGGGCTCCCTCCCACTGTCTGAGGAAAGGCTCAGGGGAGGAGGGAGGGAGGAGAGAGGGAGGCAGGAAAGTTCCCTGGTGCCTTGCCGGCCTCCCCACCCAGCCTTCCCAGGAAAAGGGGGCAGCAGAAGTCCCGGATCAGCTTCTGGGTCTGGGAGCCCAGTAGGGAGTGAAGACGGAGCAGGCCCCCCACTGGCCCTTCCCCTGCTCCAGAACCCCCTACTGAGTTCCTGTACATGTGGCCCAGGGTAGGAATCAGGACTGGCCTGAGCAGTCACAGCGATCCCTTTCTTCTTGGCCTGGTGCCCAACTTTCCAGCTCCCTGCCACTAGGAGATGGTGACACCGCCCAGCACTGGCCCCTTACACATAATGAGTCTGTTGGGGTGCCGTGCCTCACCCTCCACTGCCTGCCTTTAAACACAACGTGAGGATGTGAGGCCTTGAGCCACAGCAGCCACTTTGCCATCATGAGGCACCAAACATAAGGACAAAGGCTTGCTAAGGGGAAGTCTGTGAAGAGCCTGGCTTCTGGAGCCACCAGCCAATACCAAGACCACCTATTCCTGGACTTCTTGTTGAACAAACAATAAGTGTCCTTATGGAATAAATGACTGCTGGCAGGATTTTTGTGTCCTTCCTGACACATCAAAACAGACTTCTTGTCTGAGGGAGCTGAAGCCTCAGCTTCCAGGGCTCTGGGGTGCAGCTGTTTTGTGCTGCTGCCTGATTTCTGCCTCCCCGTCTGAGGTCTGCCTGCCTGGCTGCCACCTTTGGCTCAGCCCTCACCTGCTCTGGGGTCCTCTGATCCGGGCCAATAAAGCTCCCAGCAGCCCTGTCTATCCAGGGGACATGTGGGCCGGAAGCAGGCAGGTGAGCAGCTGGAAGGTGACCCAGAGAAGACACAGGAGCTGAGACAGGGATGTCCCCGCCCCGACCTGGGGATGCAGGCAACTGTCCTAAGGAGGGACGCGCCAGACTCAAGCTGCCTCCCACGCAGGAGCTGCCGGAGCTCATAGCAGCAGACCAGCCTGGAAACGCCGGGGGTGGGGGCAGGGGGCAGGGGGCAGGGGGCAGGGAGGCGACTCCTTCAATTTCCATTTTCCAGGTCAGCCGACCGAGGCCCGAGGGCCTTGCCGAGGTGGAGTAGGGCTGGGATGGGAATGTCCTACCTCCAGCCCCTGAGGTCCACAGAGAGGACACGGCCCTCATCCTCAGGGTCCCCGAGCAAGCCCTGCCCAGGCCTGCTGTCTGAGGCCGTGGCAGGGGCTGTCGGAACTGGGAGGGCCAGGGGAGCAATTGCTCATGGCGGGAGGGCATGGGCGAGGGCCAGGTGGGTGGGGGGCAGAGGGCAACGTGCCAGTCCTGCCCTAGAGCTGGGACTTGTAACACCCACGCTGCTGGGCCGGGGCCAGGGCAAGCTGTGGCTGCTGCTCTGCGCCAAACCACGCGGAGGCTTCTGGTGCTCGGAAAATGTCCGTCAGGCTGGGCCTGGCCGGGGACCCCACCCCTCCTAAATTCTCGGGTGCCAGAAGTTCACCCCCAGCGCCTTCCCCCACACCCCTGCGAGGGCTGTTCTGGCCCCTGGTGGCAGCCCAGGTGGCAGCATTTGCTCCCTGGAACCTTCCACCCCTACCCGCCCTCCAGAGCTACTGACCCCAAGGAGGGCAGCTGGGTCTCCCCGACCCCTGCCCTGTGCCCAGGGGCCTGGGCTGCTGGGGGACCCTGGCCACCTGCAGAGGGCTCAAGGACAAGAGAGGTCGTGCATGCCCTGGGGCTCCCTGCACGGGAGTCTCCCACACACCTGTGTCTTTATCTGCAAGATGGGGACAGATGGTGGCAATGACACTAAGCCCTCACTCCTGGCCAGCACTCCACCATTTCCAAAGCCGGGTCCACCACCGCCTCGCCTGAGGCTCCCGACAGCCCTGCGAGGCTGCTGCTCTGGCCCAGTCTGCAAATGGCTGGGGAGGGTTTGAGAGAGTCGCCAGCTGTGGGGTGTGGCCCCAAGCCACAGCGACCAGCAGCCCCCAGAGGCCCTCAGGGTCAGCCTCTCAGGACAGAAGGCAGGGCCAAAGGGCAATGCTGGTTGTCAAGGGCTGGGCGTGTGTGTGTGTGTGTGTGTGTGTGTGTGTACAGGAGCATGTTATGTGTATGCATGCATGTCCCTGTGTCTCTGTGTGCATACATGTGCACAGATGTATGTGTTCACATTTGTATTCATACCTGTTTGTATGTGTGCTTGCATGCATACTAGTCTGTGTTTACATCAACATGTGAGTGTGCATGCATATATGTATATGTTTGTGTGTGCGTGAGTACATGTGTGTTTGTGTGTCCGTGTGTGTATGTACATGGGTATGCATGTGTTCGTGTGTGTGTATACGTGGGTATGCATGTGTGCATGCGTGTGCTTTCCTAGGTGGGGACACAGCTGCCCCTGGGCCTGCTCTCTGGGGGCTCTTGCTGTCCCGGGCTCCTGCCCGCCTCAGGTCTCCAGTCCTCACTCCAGCCACCCTACCAGCCGCCCCGTTCGCCTGCTCCCTCCTGGGCGATATCACCTGCTCCACCAACTGCAATTCTGCCTGAGGAAGAGCTCAGCCTCAGGAGGTGAATCCAGCCTGCTGGTGCCGGCTCAGCCCTGGGGGACAAGGCAACCAGCAGATCCTGCTGTCCCAAGAAGCTTCGCAGAGATTTGGAGGCAGCCTTGGCAGCCTTGTCCCCCAGGCCTGTCCTGCCCTAGGCCATGCCCCTCTGGCTAATCACCCAGAGCCACCTCTGGGTGCAGAAGAAAACAGGCTTGTCCCCATCCAGGGCAGATGCTCTTGGTGTCCCTCACATGGCCCTGGGCCCCACACGGCTTCAGCTTCTGCCTGCAGGCACCTGTGACTCTGCCGAGGGCTCTCTGGCCCCAGGAGCACACTCAGGGGCTCCAGGGTAAGCCAGAGCGACAGGGGCTACCCCAGGGAAGCCTTGCCCAGGGAGAGCAGGAGAGACTGCCCGGCTGATGCCCCCAAGGAGGGCTGGCCCTGAGATTGGTTCTAAACCATCTCCCAGACGGACCACGGGCTTGAGCCCAGATGCCCCCACAGGTAACCTGCCCATTAACACACCTGTACTGCGCACATCCTTCCCTTCCTCTCTCCTCTCCCAGCGCTGCCTGGGGCCACTCCCAGCTAAACTGCTTGTCCTTTGCGGAGTCATCCTGCCTCTGCAGCGACCACCCTTGGCCTGCTCCTTCCGCAGGAGACCAGGCTGAACACTGGCTGCTTCCAGGCAGCTCCTCCACTGAGTCTGTCCCATGGGGTCCTCCGTGCCCAGCCCCATGCCAGGGCTGGGACAGCAGCCCTGGAGGGACAGCAACTCCTTCCTCTTCCTACTGACTTTCGGGTGTCCAGCCTCCCAGACGCCCAGGTCCTGGGGGCTCAGTGCCATTCTGCCCTGCCCATGCCCAGCCTGCCGCCTGGGACCTTCAGATTCTTGCCCTCTCACTCTCCCCACCCCGGGAGGCTGGCCCAGCCTGAGAAGGCCACCCGGGGCCACCAAGGCCTTAGAAGCATCCATCACATAGGACCAGGCTGCTCAGGCCTGCTGGGCAACCTGGGCTGAGGTTTTCCCAGCCACACCCAGCAAGTGACTGATGTCCCCTGACCCTGGCCCCCAACCAGGTCCTTAGGCCCAGGCTCCCCAGCCCAGCTGACCTTGGCCTCCAGCGTGGTCAGCCGCTCACTCATGTCGCTGAGCCTGGTACAGTTCATGCACTCTGAAAGAGAAGAGGAACCAATGTGAGGGCAGAATGTAGACCCTGGGGAGAGAGCAGCTCAGGCAAGCAGGGAAATCTCCAATCATTTTACCTGGAAAACTCCTATTCAGCCTTCAAAGCCTTACCCTCAGGGCCTCCTCCTCCATGCAGCCTGCCAGATCTCTGAGCCTCCTTTCTGAGCACCCACAGCACACAGTACCACCTGTTTACTCAGCAAAGTGTCTACTCCATGCCAGGCACTGAGCCAGCACCAGGGATACCATTAGCCTGCGAGTGCCACGAGGGCAGGGGGCTTTGTCTTTTTTGTCCACCCATGAATCTGAGTGCCTGGCACAAAGCGGGGACTCAAAAACTATCTGACAATTGCTGAAGGAGTGGTAAACAAGATGTGCTCCCTGACTTTGAGAGCCACAGTCTGAGGAAGGAGACAGGCAAACAGACACAGGCTGGGAAGGGCTCCGCTGGGCTGTCAGAACAGAATGCTGCAAGCCAGTCCCAGAGGGAGCAGTCATGGAGGACGTCCTGGAGGCAGTGACATCTAAGGTGAGACCTAGGGGATGCACAGTGCTTGGCCATGTTCAGTGGAGAGAAGAACCCATGGCGAGGCCTGCAGGGGAGTGAGCGCAGGGCAGTGTGGCTGACTCAGCGGCCTGGGGGCCACCGAGGCTGGAGAGAGAGGTGGATGGGCCCCACCAAGGGGCCCGGGAGGGGCATGTGAAGCAGCATCCAGTGGCCACTGGGCAACTGCTGGAGAGTTTCAGGCTGGTCAAAGTCAAGGTCAGGTTCGCACTGTTAGAAGCTCCGTCTGGCAGCGGAGCAGACAGTGGGTGGGAGTGGGAGGCCAGTGAGGAGCGGGGTAATGGTGACCCCCAAGCACACATCTCCCTGGGCTGTAATTATCTGTTTAAGTCTGTCTCCCCCGAGGCCGAGACCTGGAGCTCTTTAATGAGGAAATAGACGGTTCAAAGCTGTTCTAAAGAGCTTTTATTGCCCTAGAAGTCAAGGGAATAAATTCCTCTCTTGCCTCAGCTCAGTTCAAAGCCTGACCCTGCGGGAACCCCAGCCCGGCTAAACAGACTCGCAGACACAGAAGAGGTATCTGGGCAAGTCAATGGCCCCGCTTGGCTGGGGCTGACCGCTTGGGGTGTCCTATCTGAGGCTCTGCTCCCCAGCATGGCCCAGGCCCCCCGCACCGTCAGCCTCCTCCGTCCTTGGAGATTTTCCCCATCCTTGTCACTGGGCACAAGTCACCTTGCAAATTCCCCTGTCCTAAAATGTCGATTTCTCCATAGGAGATGCAGGGCTGGGGGACCATGGGGGGGGGGAGGGTGTCTCAGGACCACAGAAATAAGTGGGTCAGGCTTTGTCCTCCCTGGGGGTGCCCAGCCTAGGGGCCAGAGGGGTGGACACCAGCCCTACCTGGTCTCGGGAGGGGACCCCGTGGGCCGGCAGAGGCCCCTCAGCCGCTCCCCTCCCTTCTCCCCTTGGCAGGACCAAGCCAGCAGTTTATAAGCATTTTTTAGGAACAGAACTCTTTCCTCTCCATAAAACCTTGTCAGTAACCATGATGCTCAAAGCAGATTAAAGACTGAGGTATAAACACTGAGCAGGGGAACAGCTAGAAGAATGTACACAGTTTTCTGATCCTGGGATGGGACAGGGCTTTGTAAAAGGCAAGCGACAGAGGTGGGTGGGTGGTTACACACGGAGGACTGAACACACATTGTCCCCTGTAGTTCCTCCCAGGAAAGGGGTAGTAAGGAAATACAAAGGTATAAAATCCATAAGCAAAGAGAAAGGCAGAGGAAAGATGCAGGTGACATTTTGCAAGGTGGCAGGCGGCCAGGTGCCCGCCCAGCCTGGCACACGGGAGGAGGCCGGGGAAGCCCCAGGCAGGGGAGCGGCAGGTGACTGGGACCCGCCAAAGAGGAAAGGCTCACCCACACTGACGTGTGGGAAGGCCCCTGATGAAATGGCGGGGTCCCCAGAACACCAGCCTCCAGGAAGAGGGGCTTTTGGTGCCTTCCTCTTAAACTGGGACAGCCGAGGACGCCAGGGCTGCTAAGAGAAGCCCTTAACGGGAAGGCAGAGATCAAAACAAACAGGATTCTGTTTGCCACCCACCCATCCACCCACCCTGCCCCCACCTATGCATCCCCCTACCTGGTATTCACCCCCACCCACCCACCTACTCCCCCACCCTCACCCTCCCCCATCCCCCCAGCCTCGGTGGGTGCTTCTGAGCTGTGCTGACGCTGCAGAACTTGGGGGGAGGCAGGGCCGCATGGATGGGGGTGCTGCCCTTGGGGGCTGTCCCCCTGGGACCTGAGTCCTATGGGCTGGGCAGGGTGACTTTGAGGAGGCTACTTTTCAGCTCGATCAGTGCTCCTGCCCACACCAGGAGGCTCCTCACCACCCAGGGGCCCGGCAGAGAGAGCAGGAGGAGGTGGCCCTCGGGGGAGCTGTAGAGAGAGCCCTGGCCTGCCCGGGCACTGGGCAAACATTCTTGAGGCTTTCAGAGTCCCTGAACAGGGCGTTTCTGGGCCCAAAGGAATAAATAGGATCCACGCAGGGGGCAAGGTCAGCAAGGGAGGGACGCTCTCGTAGGGACCTATTTCTGGAAAGTGTGCTGGGCCCGGGCCCAGTTTGCTCTGGCACCGGGCACCCTGCTTGGCAGGGGAACAGCGGCTTGGCTGTCAGCAGGCACGGGGAGGGGTCCCGCTCCCCAGCCAGCTCGGACGCCCCGCACCACCAGCCCGGGCAGGTGCTCCCGAGCCAGGCAGGTTTTTGGCTCTCCTGCATCTGTCACCGACAGGCAATTAAAGCGTGTTTGTTTAACTTTCTCTAATTATTCACTGGAGCGGTGGAAACGGTGCTGGTGGGACAGAACCTACCCACTCGTGGCCCTGTGACCAGGCGAGGCCCTGCCCGTCCCACTCTTAGCCGTGGGCTCTGACCCTCTGGGATTACAGGAGTCCCAGGTGCCCGGGTCCCCTCGATGGCATGCAGGCCCTCGAGCACCCGGGCCCACAGCACGTTTCCTGGGGTCTAGAGCACATGCGGAAACCAGCCGGGGAACCTTTGCCAATATGTGCGTGTCGGAAATGTCAACGTACCAGGCAGCCCCGCGTGTGTTCCTATGTTCCTGTGGGGAGGGTGGGGCAGAGAGAGAGAGAGAGTGAGCGAGCACCGACTGCTTGGTGTGTTCACTGGAATGAGAACTATAGAGACCTGGGCCTAGCCTGCCACTAGCTCACTGAGTGGCTTGAGAGGCCCATGCTCTCTTTGCACCTCGGTTTTTCTGTCTGTAAAAGGGATTTACACTGGATCAGCTCCAAGGGCCTCAGGCTCCAGGACTCTTTGTTCCTGCCACCTGTGCCCTCATCCTTGGCCTCTTGCTCGAGGGCTCCGTCACCCACTAGGACAGAGGTTGCCAAGTCCACCTGCCATCTGCCTTTGGCCAGCACCCTTGCTAGTCATGGCTCTGCTTCCAGAATTCAGGACCCGCCTCCTGGATGAGGCAGGGTTCCCAAGGCCTGGGCCCTGAGAGGGGCTTCGCCAACAGGGCAGGAGTTGGGTCCTGCAGGAAGGTCTAAAGAGGCAGCGTGAGTCCACTGTGAGGCTTGGGTCACAGAAAAATTGGATCATAGAAAAATTAGCTGGGCATGGTGGCACATGCCTCCCAGCTACTTGGGAGGCTGAGGTGGGAGGATCACTTGAGCCCAGGAGTTGGAGGCTGCAGTGAGCTATGATGAGGCCACTGCACTCTAGACAGGGCAACAGAGTGAGATGCCGTCCCCCCCCCAAAAAAAAAGAAAGAAAGGAAGGAAGAAAAGAAAAAGAAAACAAAAAACAAAAAATACACTTTTAGAATGAAAAAAAATAGCTGACATTAAATAGTCAGTAAAAGGATTGGAACATTAGAAAATTTTCTATAAAGTTTATAAAAGAGAGGAATTGTGAAAATTGGAGAGGAAAAAATAAGGAAAGGATCAGTCCAGGAGGTCTAACATCTGACTAATAGATAAAGAGAAAGAAAGAAAAGTTTCTTTCCAGAGAAAGAAACTAGAAAAAATGGAGGGAAGAAAAGTATCAAAGAAATGATCCAAAAGCCCACCTAAAACTGAAGGATATGGCTTCTTAAGTTGAAAGAGCATTACAAAGGGCAGATGAAAAAGTAACTCATGCCAAAAAGCACATCATCACAAATTTTTGGAATCCCAGAGACAAGGAGAAAACCCTAAAAGTTTCCAAAGATAAAATAAGACTTAGGGAAAATATCAGGAATCAATATGGCATTGAACTTCTGAACAGTAACAGTGGCAGTTGGGAAATAGTGGTATTTTTGGTGGGGGGAGAAGAGGATTTTCCAGCTAAGATTCAGTATCCAGCTCAACTATCCCTCAAGGTTCAAGGATAGAATGAAGGCATTTTTAGATATGCATGGTCTCAAAACATTTACACTGCCCATACCTCTTCTCAGAAAAGTGCCAAAGGATGTACTCCACCAAAACAAGGAAGTAAACTAGGAAGAGGAAGACACAAAACATGAATATGCAAAACCAGAAAGTTTAATATGGAAGAGACCAAGAAACATCCTGAGAAGGACAACAAAGAAGTGTCACATGATGGCAGCTGTGCAGCAGGCCTGGAGCACACCAGAGCACCTTAGACAGCAAGACAGAGGGCTTTAGAAACTAGACAGCACCTGATGTGTGTGAATGTTAATAAAGGGAGAATTAAACTTCTCTTGGAAAATCGGGGGTGAATTAGCAACATGTCAAGTGATACATATTTATGACATTGCTTAGAAAACTAAGCATAAAAAATGAATTATTATCTCCCAAGAAAACTGAAAGTCTAAAGAGAGGAAAGCATCTTGGGATCTGTGACTATAAACTTGTTCCTTATGACAGTCACTTCCCTGTCCACGTGCCTTCCCATACCTGATTAAGACAAATCCCAGGTACATTTACAACACTGGGGTGTATTTGTACATG